TAGGGTTCAAGGTTGAGGGTTTAGGGCTCAGGGGTTTAGGGTTTAGGGTTTAGGGTTCAGGGGTTTAGGGCTTAAGGATTTAGGTTTCAGGGTTCAGGCTTTAGGGTTTTTGTTTTTAGGGTTTAGGGCTTATAGGGCAGAGCCTGTGACACCCAAATAGGGCGTGCGGATGAGGTTTGAGGGTCGTGCAAGGGTGACTTCGACGCAAGAAAGAGCCCCAAAATTAGCGTGCGTGATTTAAAATTAGAGGGGTCATATAAACGTGACTTAAGAAGGATCCGGATTCGATGCGACGTAGTATCTCGGGGTCACCACTACTTCAAAGCTCGCTGAACATATTCCAGATTGGGGATTTAGGGAGGGTTTAGGGCACATGCTTCAGAGCAACTACCCTAAACCCTAAACCCAAAACCCTAAACCCTAAACCCTAAACCCTAAACCCTAAACCCTAAACCCTCAACCCTAAACCCTTAACCCTAAACCCCTAAACCCTAAACACCGACACGACACGCTCCGAGCAGCCACCGCCGGTTCTGGCAAGACATGTCAACCTCAGAGTCCACACGTCCTGAATGTACTGAGCCGCCAGCCTGGCGAAACAAAGGAAGCCCGGGGTGTTTTAGGGTTTAGGGTTTAGGGTTTAGGGTTTAGGGTTTAGGGTTTAGGGTGAGGCACGGCCTTCTGCTTGGTCAAGAACCTATTGGCTCTCACCATGCACGTGTTGAATGTCAGATGCGACTCCACCTCCAACGAAAAAGTACTCGTCGGACACTTCATCCAGGCAGAGGTTTCACACGCGGCTGGCTGCACCGACTGCAAAACCTTTGCAATGTTCTTGCTGCCCTTGCTCTCTTGCAGCATCGACAATTTGCAATAGTTCTACAAATGGAAGGCACATCTCTGAAACGCATCGCCCATGACCATTCCATCGCAAAAACACAGATCCCAGCTGCCCCTGGACCCTAAACCCGACCTATAGACCCTGAACCCGAATACCTAAGACCCTATAGACCCTAAACCCTAAACCCTACGGCCTATAGACCCTAAACCCCAAACCCTTAGAACCACAACCGAACCACCGACCTTGCTATTTACCTGCTGGTGATGGCCCTGCACTTAAGGGTTTCGGGTTTAAGGCTTTAGGGTGTAGGGTGTAGGGTTTAGGGTTTAGGGCTTAGGGTTAAGGGTTTAGGGCTTAGGGGCCAAGGGCTTCAAATGCTCATCTTTCCATTCAACACGCGGACACACGATTTCGGAGTCTCGCGTGAACCTCTGGATGAGGTTCAGGTCGGAATGCTGGTTATTGACACACCTGGCTAGAAATCGTGTGATAACTCAACCTTAAACCCTGTTGACCCTAAACAAATGATCCTCAACCCTAAACCCAAGCCCCGCTTCGGTCTAGGTGCTGCGTCCAGGGGCGGTTTTAAGGTGCAGACTTCAGGGGGTTTGGGTGGTTGATTCTATGTATAGAACGGGTATACGTAACTGGCACACAGCAGTTGCCTCTAAAGGAAGCCTTACAGGAACCCTTAAAGGAACCCTTCAAGGAACCCTTATAAAGGAACCCTTATAAAGGAACCCTTATAAAGGAACCCTTAAAGGAACCCTTAAAGGAACCCTTAGAGGAACCCTTAAAGGAACCCTGACAGGAACCCTTACAGGAACCCTTAAAGGAACCCTTAAAGGAACCCTGAAAAACCCTAAACCCTAAACCCTGAAACCTGAACCCTAAACCCTAGACC